CATATGCACTCCAGCCTGTCATAAACGGTACGTATATAGTACGTACAGGTCCTTATCACCTGAGGCTACAAGGCACTTAGCAATCTGCATACATGTAAGGTCTTTCTATATACACCAGGAGTGTGGCATATGTCCGCGTGGCAAACTTGCTTATTATTCTTAAGCTCATTATTAGGCTATTGAAACTACTACTACCTATTATCTTAGTAACTACTTTATTTATATTATTTCGCCTAGTTTCTATTTTCGCACTCACTATATTACGGTTGATGTCACGGCGCTGGCGGACTACTTCATTACTAAGCTATGTTCCAAAAGGATTATGACAGGCTAGGGTGCATATGCCCAGACGGCCAAACCTACAAAAGATAAGACGATGTTCTGCTTGCAAGGCAGAACTCGGAATGCACACTATATAGCTAATGTCAACCTGTGACAAGGATACAAGTAACTGAAGCTGGCAATTCGGTCGCTCAAGTGGTCTTATATAGTTGTAACGACAGTCGAGAGGCACAACTGCAAGGCTGCCATCACAGTTGAGAGTTTTGAAAGAAATATTATATTAAAGTATTATGAAGTTCGTAAATCAAATCTTAAAATTATATATAGAAGTAAAGAAGGCAGCTATAAATATTCTAGGAAAAAAAGAAGAGATACTTGTATCCACATTTGTACTTGTATTTATACTAAAGAAGATATTAGAGAAAGTACTTGTAATAGATGGATAATACAATTCGTTAATTTATTTACTTTTTATTTAATTGAGTAGTATTTTAAACTGTATAGTTTGCATTATAGTAGTAAATATTGCTATGCAATATGGTGGTGCAAATGCGTATTGGGTCAGTTTGGTGGTAGAATATTATAGAGTCTATCCTATAATATTTCGCTATCCTATTATAAAATTTCCTCCTCTTTTATAAAAGGGGGTTGGCAAAAAGTCCCACTTTTCCCTTGACCGCCAAGTAGGTAAGGCTTCTGTCACAGGTTGGCATTGGCCAACCTGTGACAACTTCAAAGCATGAGCCATGAATAGCATCACCTGGTGTTTCGGTGCGCGCGTGCGGATGAATATGGGCGGCCTTCCAAAATCGATGGACGACTATTATGAGCAGACAAGTATCGGACTTTGCATCCTTGCATTATTATTAGGTGTACTACTAGGAGAAGGGGGTATCTATCGTTTTGTTCGTTTATCGTTCCTGTCCTGAAAGCCAATGATCAACCAGGTCAAAGGACGGTATTCACATGTTGAATCAAGGATATAATTGGGTCGTCATGTACTCCAGGCCGTATTACTCCTCCCATTTCACTTTTACTCCTCACGCCCCACGCCCCTTTTCAAAACTCCATCCCAACTTCAACTTCAACTTCAACTCCAACCTTCACCCTTTTCTTTCTCTCCCAAAACTACCTACCACCCGCCTTCTCCTCGTCCCCAGGGCTCTGAGTTCCCCTCCTCCCTGACTCAACCTTCGCATCCTCGTTCGCCTTCTTCATATTATCCAATCCCGTCTTATGCTCCTCATGCTCCTTGCTCAACGTCCTCGACCCGACAAACAGCGAGATGAACAGACCCAGCGCCGAAAAGGCCACGTACACGATGTACATGACCCTTAAAGCGTTGAAGTAGGCTTCGCGGGCGATCTGGCGCTGGTCAGGAGGTAAAGAGGCGAGACGGCCGACGTTCGACGCGGCGCTTCCTCCCGTCAGGAGACTGGCGGCTTGGTCACCGATTTGTTCGACCAGGCGATCGTGCTGCTTCTCCATGTGGTTTTGGAAGACAACGCCGCCGATGACGACGGAGATGGATGTCGAGAGCTGCCGGATGAAGCCGAATGTGCCGGTGGCTGCGGCGACGTCGCGCCCTGGGACCGTGGTTTGGAGAGCGATGAGGGGGGCTTGGAAGTTAGGACCGACTCCGACGCCGGCAACGATTCTGTTTTGACTGTCAGTTATTGTGATCAAGGTAAGAGGGACTTAAGGTGGCAACTCACTGGTAAAGGATGATCTTGGGCCAGTTGGGTCTCGCCTCCAAGTCGATGAAAAGACCAAAGCCCAACGTCATGACAGTCATGCCAAAGATGATCGGAGGCAGGTACTTGCCCGTCTTTTTGATATACACACCGGTAGCAGCCGACACGATCGACAGCGACATGGCAAACGCCAACACGTACACTCCCGACAACAACGGCGAGGCGCCCAGCACCGCCTGGAAGTAGAGCGGGAGGTAGTAACTACCTGAGATGAAGACGAAACCCTGGCAAGCGCAGACCAACAGCGATGCCACGCTCGCCCGGCGCCTGAAGAGCCGCATCGGGATGACGGGATACTCGGCCACCTTCCACTCGATCACGCCAAAGATACCGATCATGACAATGCCGAAGACGATCAAGCAGATAACGGTTGCGGACTTCCAGGGGTACGACACGCCACCGAATTCTAAGCCGAGGAGAATCATGAGCGTGCCGCCGACGATGCTCAACGAGCCGAACCAATCCACCGCCTTTAGGCCCTGCCGAATCGGCGTCCGTGGGTTATGAAGCTTGAGGACAAACGCCAGAATGGCCATGCCCACCCCGGAGATGGGCAGGTTGATGTAGAAACACCACCTCCAAGTGACTTTGCTCGTGAAAGTGCCTCCGAGAATGGGACCGATCGCGCTCGCCAGTGCCCAGACCATGCCCATGACGCCAAAGTAGATACCTGTATCACAATCGTCAGCTTCTTGCTTTCTCTCTACCAAATGGTTGCCACATACCTCGTTTCCGCATCGAAAACAAATCACTGATACAGATATTCACCAAAATAATGATCCCGCCACCCCCAATACCCTGAATCGCCCTCGCAGCCAATAACATGCCCATGTTCTTGCTCAGTGCGCAAATCAAGCTGCCAACCCAAAATACGCCCACCGTTATCAGCAGGATCGGCTTGCGTCCCCAGATATCGGAAATCTTGCCCCACATGGGCGCCGTCGCCGCGTTGGCCAAAAGATACGCCGACCCGATCCATGTGTAACCCGTCGTACTGTTGAACTCCTGGGAGATGGTCGGGATGGCGACCGTCACGATAGTCACGTCGAGAGCGGCCAGGAAGAGCGCACTGGCTAGGGCAGCGATGATGGCTGTTGTTTCGAGGTTGGTGCGGCCTTCTTCCGGGGCCGAAGGAGACCCGGTAGCCGTTGCTGGTGGATCGGTTGGTGGCGCGGTTGGATCGCCATTTTTGTTGGTCCTTTCTATTTCCTTTTCTTGCTCTTCTTTGACTTGGGAGTTGTTAAAGTTGTTCTGAACCGTGTTGTCGGAACTGCTGCCGTTTTCTGAGGCGGCTGCCGAGGTTTGTGTGAGTGTCGGTGTCCCCCGACTACTTGTGCCATGCGGCGCCACTGACGCCATGTCTCACTCCCGTTGGCTTGTCACTGGATGGATGGTGACTTTTGTGAGATTGCGCAACGGTTTATTCGGTTTGTAAGACCGGTAAGGTATTGGGCCGTTCAAGCACTCGAGATATGGACCTCTTTTCGTCAATTGCCAAGTAGGACAAAAGCTTCTTTTCACCACTTTGTCGTTTTGGTCTTCCTCAGTTGGACTATCCTAGGAATATTGTTTGCGCCGTTGTGTGAAAGAATTTCTTGTGCGACCGAGCAGGGAAGAGTGGGAAGCCGGGCGCAAACGTTCGGTCGGTGGAAGCTGAGAGTCGGAGGAGAGGTAGGTAAGAGAGATATCGTATGGCGAAAGCGTCCAGTAGTTCACTGTGACAATTGTGATTTGATGATTCCTGGATGAATATCTGAGGATTATTTGATAACAACAAGGAGTTCTATCGCGATACTAGTCGCAACAACCTGAATTAAAAATAAGGGTCTGAGTGCACGGGATGAAGAAATGATATCATGCAGAATGGAACCAAAGCTTCGGGTCCAAGTATCCGATCCCGTTGTCGCGTGTTAAGAGTCGTCCCAAATTGTCTTTGTTGAAGAGGAAAGAACAACAAACTGAAGAGAAAGGAAAGAGAAAACTTCAGAATAGTTGAAAGTTGTAGGAAAGAAGAAAAAAAACCATCAAAGCAAGCTGGCAAGCAAGCGAAGTATCATATTAGGGAAGGTGCGCGTTTGCTTCCATGCCTTGAGCTTGCCTCCCCTCCCCCAAGTCCCCTGGTTCGGCGTGTGGTCGGTGGTGGTCATTAGCTCCGACTTATACACTACACACAATGAGGGAGTGACTAACCCCACAAAAAACTTTCTACACTATCCATTTTGGGTTTCGATATCCATGACGGCACCGACGGCGGGTAACACGCACATACATCCATACTTTGTAGATAGGCTAGGTACCTAAATGGGCAAACAACGGACAGAAACAGTCACAGCAGCCTGTGAAGAAGAGAGAGATATGATGAGTAACTCGAAGCTAACCTCCCATATTGCCTCGTCGAAATACCGGCTGCATGGATAAAGCGTTTCTCCGTAGTCATCAAGGCTAATTTCTTTCTCTCTGTGTCAGACAAATAGGTAGTCAGACCGACGACAGTCATAACGTAACTTGAACTGTGCGAACTTCACCGATTCGAGCGGAGATTAGAGATGAGAAGCCCCATCGAAAAGTGTTATATCCGGATGGCAGCCGAAACAGACGGCAAGTGGAAAAAAGAAAAAGAAAAAAAAGACAAGAGAAAAAGCATTGGTTGGTTAGTTGGTTGGTTGCCGGTTCGGTCGATGCCGACATTGGCGGCCACCCTTGCGAATCTTTGGGTTTGGGGCGTCCTGAAGGCTCTGGACCGCCCTTTGACCATTTTGCTTTGTAAGTGTGAAATGCGTGAGGGGGAAAAGTGCGGTGCTAAGTTCACTTTAGAAAGACTAACGATTACGTACCTATGTACGAGCCGAGCTCCGAGCGCTACGTTGAGTCGTTGACAAACACTAGGATAGAGCCCGAACCTATCGCATCATTTCTCTGACCAAGAACGTTGTAAACCGTAGGACGCCCTTCCCTTCCCTTTCTCGCCTTTTTGTTGATGCCTTGTCTCCTTGAGAAGAGAGGATCAAGTGTTGTCGTTGCCCGACGTCTTAATGTAGTGTATCGGTAAGGTGCATGTACGCAGCAAGCAGACAGCCCAGGCGGACGCACCCGAGAAATACTGCACGCACCTGCACGCGGCCAACTTGTTCCTGCAAACTCATCCATCTTTCTTTCATTAAAACTTCTTCGTTTCAAATTCCTCGTGGTGACGCGGAACCTGACACTCACTGGCACAGCGACGGGAAGCACCGCAGCGAAAACAAGAACCTTGTGCCCCACCTCCACGTGCCGGCCGCTACCAAGCGGGGAGGTGATGTGACTTGTGAGTGGCGGGGACCGCATCCGGCCCGGGAGAGTGGAGGAGTTCGGGAAGTGGGGGTGCCGGAGGTGTGGTCAATTCTCCATCCACCCATCCATCACTTCGCGGCATCACGCATCAGAACTTAACTTGATTTCCCAGAGTCTGGTCGCTGAAAGAAAGAGGGTATATATCGGGATGGATACTAAGGTTGACTGCCTTGGATGCCTTCAATCATTTTGCGTGTTCATTAACGGCTTGTGCGACAAATACTGGAATGAGCCTTACCATGTACAAGACGAAATGGAAAAAACCCCGCTCCAGTGACACGAAAACGGCGTCTGCGACATTACGCTGTTGACACAAAGAACAAACAGGGGACAATCACGACAGGAAAGACAAACAAACATCGTGAGTATGCCAACACTCGATAATGAACAAGAATTGAGTCTGTTTGCTATTAGAAAGACATCTTTCGAGAAAGAAAACCGTATGAACTAATAATGTACTTAAACGTTACAGTCTATCGAGTGGCACCGACCAACTACCAACTACCAATAGTCACTCAATATTCACCCATCCATCCATTCATCCATGTCGAGCAGCTTATGCCCAACCCGGCGGCCCATACCTCGGTATGACCTTCGCACTCAATTACCCGGAACTGCTAACTAGCAGTTTATCATCCCAAGTAAATACTAAACGTAGTACGAAAAAGACGAGTCCCGCTCTTAGGCCCACGACTCCTTTGCATCTTTTCTTTCGATGCATGACATGCGGTGGGCAGCACATAAGCTTTTCAATCCCATCTTCCCCTTCTAAACGTAGTTTATAGGTATAAAGTATGTGCATATATGTACAATGTAAAAGTCACCCGGGACATTTGAGTGCAAATGTCCAGGTTAAATCGTTCGGTCCATGGTCGTCATTACCGATTCATTCCTCAGCGACGCGAACGCTCAACGGCAGCAGCACTGGGGTTGGCGCTCATCATCGTGAGACCAGCAGCGGCAGCAGGTGCCGGCGTGCTGGTGCGGGTAGGAGGAGCAGAGCGGTTGTGGGCCATATGGGCCTTAACCAAGTGGCCAGCGGCAAGAGCACTGCAGAGAGACAACTCGCCGGCCAGGACGGCAGCGGCGACAACGCGAGCAAGACGCCTGGCGTTCTCACCAGGGTTGGTGGGATGAGGACCGCGGACGCCAAGCATGTCGAGCATAGCCGATTGGGGCTCGAGGATGGTGCCACCGCCAAGGGTACCGACTTCAATCGAAGGCATCGAGACGGAAATCTGGAGGTTTCCACGCAGGCTGGAAACATGTTAGTTATGCACTTGCCAAACAAAATAGGGGCACAGGTTACTCACTTTCTCATGAGGGTGATGCAGTTGGCACTTTCAACCACCTGGGCGGGATCCTGGCCAGTAGCAAGGAAGATAGCCGCGACAATGTTGGCCGCGTGGGCATTGAAGCCACCAACGGAGCCAGCCATAGCGGAACCGATCAAGTTCTTGTTGACGTTGAGCTCGACGAGGGTATCAACATCAGTCTTGAGCACGTTCTTGACCACGTCACCAGGGATGATGGCCTCAGCGACAACGCTCTTTCCGCGTCCGTCGATCCAGTTGATAGCGGCAGGCTTTTTATCCGTGCAGTAGTTGCCACTGACGGAGACAATGTTCATATCCTCGAAACCCTCGTTGTACATGACGCTAAGGGCGTGCTCGACACCCTTGGAAATCATGTTCATACCCATAGCATCACCAGTAGTAGTCTTGAAGCGGATGTAGAGGTTGGTACCGGCCATAGCAGTCTTCATGCTTTCCAGACGAGCGAAGCGAGACGTCGAGTTGAAAGCCTTCTTCATGGTAGACTGTCCCTTCTCGGAATCGAGCCAAAGCTTGGCAGCACCAGCTCTTTCGAGTGTCTCGAACTGAACGCAAGGGCCACGGGTCATACCATCAGCAGTCAAAACAGTAACAGCACCACCGCCAGAGTTGATGGCCTTGCAGCCTCTGCTGGTGGAAGCGACCAAGACACCTTCGGTGGTAGCCATAGGGACGAAGTAGCTCTGTCCGTCGATAACAAGGGGACCGGCGACACCAACAGGGAGAGGCATGTATCCGATAACGTTCTCGCAGCAAGCACCATGAACCTGGGCCCAGTTGTAGTTCTGGTAAGGAAGCTTGGAGTGGTCGAGAACGTTGGTCAACTCGGTAGTGGCCTTGGTGCGAGAGATGATCATACGGCGAACCTTGACGGCGCGAGTGAAATCCTTGAGGGTCTTCTCGAGAGCATAACCGGGGATCTTGCCCTTGAGCGAGAGGTGGACGATTTCCTCATCATTGAGCTCATGAGTACGCTTCTCGGCGAGCATCTTATCGAGCTCCTCCTTGGAACGGATAGTAGTAGCGCGTTGAGCGGCAAGGATAACAGCGCGGTTCTCCTTGGCCTGAGCATCATTTTCGTCATCAGTGCTGGACGGGGTGAGGGGAGCGACGGGGGTTGAGGGAGCGGTGGGCTTCATGTACTCTCCCAGGGGAAGGGTGGCAGACGCGGTATCGTTAAACTTCTGCGCCTCATCCAACTCCTTGGGGTTGATGGGGTGATCCGGAACGTTGGGGTCCTTGATGCCCCAGCGGGCAGCGTTGAAGAGATAGCCGTTGAGCGCAACGCTGAGAGCGAGAGCAACCACAATCCACTTGGACAGAATAGGGTCCTCCAAGCTCTTGAGAATGCTGCCGACCATGCGGCCACCATAGCCACCGAGGTTGGCATAATCGGCATCCTCAACACCGGCCGACTTCTGAGGGAGATCGTAATGGATAGAAGGATACTCAAGCTCGTAGCGGATAGGGGTAAGGACGGTCACAACAGTCTCCCTGCCGGCGGCGCGGGCGGCCTCGAGAATGATATCCAAGCCGTTGGACGCAACCTTAAAAGGGTCGACCGGAGGAGGCGTCACAACGCCACCAAGACCACGAGCCCACGAAGAGATGCTGGATATGGAGTTGGCGCTGCGGAAGGGAATGGTGCAGAGGTTAAGGGCGTTGATCAGAACAAAGCCGGTAACCATCATGACCTTGAACTTGGGGATATGAGTGCTCTTGAGCTGACGACCGAAGATGGTGGTTCCAGGCTGATCCTTGCCATCGGCGCGGGGCCAGTCATTGCTCTGGGCAACATTCTCAGCAACGCGACGGCTGACGCCATCCTCCTCCAAAGCCTTGCGCATCTGAACGTGACGCTTGATGCGGTTGATCTCGAGCTTGATGCAGAGAATGGCAGTGTAGAAGGAGAAGAGCAGGATGCAGTCGAAGAAGAGGATCCACGCGGCAAGGAAGCAGAACTGCTGCAGGCCACCCTGGACGCCAGAAGCAGCCCCCAAGACAAGAATACCGGCCTCAATGGCGTAGTCCTTGACAATGTCAAAGCCCTTCTCCTTGATGGCAAGCTGGATAGCAGACTGGATGTTGTGGGCCGAATCGGCCTTCTTGGCAGTCTTGCCAGACTTCTCGGTCGGCCGGCGGTGGTCAACAGCATGTGACAAAACGGCGCGAGTCAGAACAATGTTCTTCTCAAAACCAATGGTAACGACCAAGAAGGGGAGACCCTCCGAGAGCAGAACCATGGTAATGGGAACTCCGAGCTTGGTGGTAACATGGAGACCGAAGAGGAAGGCAAAAACGGACGAGAAGATAACGCTGGTGGCGAGCCAGAAGTTGGATCCCATGCGGCGCATTGAGAGGAACAGCGACACAAAAGTGAGGGTGCATCGAGATGTAGCCCAGAGCCATGATGATGATATCCAGAGTCTCGGCGTTTCTGAGGAGATCAGTGAATTCAACCCAGGCGTTCTGAACCCACTTGACGATGCTGCTGCGAGTCTGGACACGGGCAGCCTTCATGATCCACATCTTCTTCTCGTAGCCGCGCTCGGTCTCGATGGTCTCCTGCGAGGAGACGGCATTCGGGATTTCCTGGGCGTTTGTCAAGAACTCGGAAGCTTGGCTGTACGGGAGGGAAAAGGCGAGCGCGCTGTCTTGGGAGTAGGTGAAGGAGATGGCGGTCGAGGGCAGAGGCGTAATCGAGAGGTTCGCGGGGATGGGAACGGCGTTCATCTGCGCGGCAGCGGAGCCAGACTCGGAGGAATCGGGGAAGACGAGGGTGAGGAGAGCGAGATGGTTGGCATTCGCAGGAATGGGCGCTTCGGCATCGTGATTTTGCCAGTTCCACTCCGTATCGGCACCGGCGCGAAGCATCCTACTGCCCGCCTGGAGCGACTCCCAGTCGGCCTTTCTGACGCTCCTGGTGACATCAAAGAGGCTGTTCTGCAGGAGGCCGATATAGGAGGAGCTGGCGAGCAGAGCGACGAGAACAATGGTGTGAATTGGGTTGCTCGAGGTGATCTTGGAGAGTTTCTGGAGCGGAGGGGTGACCTTCTTGTTTATCCACGAAGGTGCGGCGGCCTGGGTGGCCGGCTGCTCCCCTCGGAAGCGCGAGGGGAGAAGGCTCGAGGCGATCATGTTGGCAGATGTTTAGGGGGTGGGTTGAGATTGATCACCGAAATCCGACAGACATTGAGCAGGGTCGAGAGTGTAGTAGATATGGGATCTAGGACGAAGCCAGCGTCAGTAATCATCACCGAGACAAGACGACGCGCAAGAGGCGCAGATGGTTATAATAAGATCGAGTTGGCGGTCAGCAGCAGCGCGTGCCACAAGGAGCGAACTACGCCATCCGCAGGCTGCCGAATATCGAAAACAGCAACAGTCTTCTGCCTGGCATTATGGTGATGCGGCTGCTGAAGGAGGATTCCAGGGCGAATGGGTGAACTTACATCAGAGGTTGCGATCAATTGTCGCGGGTACAGAGACCGCTTGACAGAAACCGGTGCTGCGCCTGGAAAGTTGTCACGCGAAACCTTGCGTCGTGCGCACTGGCCCTACAACAGGAACACGGGGGAGTTGGAGAAATCGCTGGAGTATCTCGCTTCCCGCTTTTGGCTTGCAGAAAGTCCGATTATTGCAAAAGAATAATCAGAAGTGCCACAAGTCCCAGGGAACTGGAAACAAGGTGAAGTTCTGTTGGCGGCTGCAATGAAGCTGCTACCTTGGGAGGTACGGTTGATGTACCTTTGTTGGTGGTTGAATGTCCCAAAAGAATGGAGGGGGAGGGAAGGGACGGGAGGGAGGGGTGAAGAAGGATCGTGAGACAATGTTGAAAAAGTCTAGAGATCCTGACCGGTCGGCGGAACTGTGAGTGAGGTACTTCTCCGTCACTTGTTGCTTGCTCGACTCCACGAGATGAGGAGGCGGAGTGGGTGTTGTCCTCTTGGTATGGAAAATAAAAACCAAAAAAATTTGGGAAGGACCAGGGGACCTCTGGGTTGGACGAATGTCAGTAACACGGGCCACTCCCGCTTTTGTGTCTCCCCAAGACGCTCCAACCCGTCGCCTCTCGCGCTGCATGACGACCCCCTTTTTTCTCACGACGGAACATTTTACTACTTGACGGATCGCGAAGGACACATACAAAAGGACTTCACTATGCTCGATTTGGGTTACGCTGTGTACACCGATCCATATCTTTTGCTTAAACCACCAACGACATTTCAACACGCCGTCCTGGAGCAGCGGCCTTGGGCCCAAATGTTGGGGTAGAGGTTGCCTCACCGCCTTCACCTGCTGCATTTGTTCCATCGCTAGTGTCGTTCTGTTCTGGGACATGCCACTGCACCACTGGACAGCAGCAGCCCAAAGGCCTTTTTGTCTTTCTTCTTCTCTTGTTTTTCCTCCATCCGGCGCATGTCTACCGTACAAATGCTCGCGGTTGAATCATTCCAGATTTTACTGAGTCGGGCATCCATGTGAGCATACCAGCGTCACCCGCTTTGTGTTTTCCATTTTGCGCCGGCTGTATGCGATGCTCGATGCGATATAACCGTCCCGACTGGATCCCTTACTTTTTGATGGCTACGTAATGATTGTTACGCCTCCCCCCTTTTCCTATTGTTTTGTACCCCAACGAACACTTTTCCGGCTTCCAGAATTTTGAGTACGGCAACTTGGCCACAACGCAACCATTGGCTATTCGGCCAGGGCTTTTCTTCTCGTGAGCAGCGCCAACTGAACAAGTCTCATCACGAGCACCAAAACGTTGAAAGACGAAAAACCGGGGCATGGCGAATAGACACGATCTCCCAGACTCCCTCCCAACTTGGCGAGAGCTTTGTTTCAATTCCAGCCTCCTCCAGCCTCTCCAGGTTGTCCCCTGAAAATCATCACGTTGCAATAACCAGCCCCACCGAAACAGGCCGAATGGATTTCTGGGCGCAATTTATCCCCCACTGTCGTGACCGTTATCGTCCGTTATCGCCCGCCAAGGTCGCTTGGACGTGGCATTGCCAGAATGCTCTCAGCTTGGACGAGCTTGTTGACCCTGGAAGAATGCTGTCGACCCACTTATCGATACCGGATGTCGCTTATCTGATGATCTGATAATTTTTCACTGCCCCTCCATCTCCATCGCGACTCCATAACGTCGACGTATGCCCCTCCATGATCGGCCGTCGACATTCCTGAAGGCATCGTAAACTTGGACAAATGTTGAGCTCAATTCATGGGAATTTTGGCCAATATTGCGCTGGAAAACTTCACAGATGCTGGACTTGAAAGTTTCCCGGAATTCGGGGTTTCTCTGGCGTTGGGTATTTGGTACGATAGGTGAGTTGTCGCAATGACCATCCGTTCGCGAACCGGACTTGGGGAGCATCGAAGCTGGGTTCCGAAACGTGAAACCCCGCCAAAGTGCAGACGTGCGCACTGCGTTTGTACCCAATACTACCGGACACACGTAGTCCCATCAACGACTACACGGGAACATTCGAATGTGGAGTTCATACTCGGAATTCTGTCTCGCTCTTTGGGAAAGCTAATGCAGTTCTCACAGTACATAAAAGGCCCGCTCAACTTTCCCAATGTCGTTCTCAGATCATGTCGTACAAAGGCAGCAAGAAAGCATCCCACGTCGCTTTCAGTTGGACGACACAGCTGCCAGGAACAACCAGGCAGTGCATCAAATGGTGCAGTTCCAGCCCGGAGGAACGGAGGTGCGAAGGAGATGCGGACGCGGACTTGGGGTAGCAGACTGACATGATTCGGTGAACCCTAACCCTCACGCATTGACCGTTCTTGCCCGTTGTGTTCCTGCGGCAGGTCGAATTCTAGAATACGCACAGACGCCCGTACCTTGGCGGCATGCGCCGATTCCACGTTCCAGTTCCAACTTGTGTGGCGCCCAAAACCTTGTCAGCGCTTATTTATCCGTCTTATCTGAACTTTGGCACCTCTCGGCGCTCTCACTGATTGCTAACATCCTCCTTCAATGGATGACGGCCATCACCAACCGACTCTCTTCAAAGAAATCGAAAGTCGTCTTTTGACTAAACCAACCCGAACATCATGGGTTTCCTCGACTGGTTGTTGCCTCCAAGCATCTTCAATGTGTCCCAAACACGCCTGCTTGGTAAGGAGCAAGGTGCCCAGCTGGAGCCCAAATTCAGGCCAGCTCTCCTGGTGGTTGACATGCAAGAGGACTTTTGCCCACCGGTAAGCTTCTTTTGGACCTGCTTCCTGCATGTTTACGTACAGATTTCGCGGCATCGATTTCTTTTGACGTTTCCTAGTTGAAACTCATATCCCACATGTGCTCTTTCCCCTTGAACCTTCATATGAATCTTCCTTCGTCAGTATCTTTTCCACCCTGCTTCATCGCTTCACTCCAAAAACCAAGATATCGTGCAGTGGGGAAAACATGTCATTCGTGCTACCGTGTAAGCCTCATATGTTACCGGCAAACAGACCACTCACAGTCTTGCAATGGCTTCCGATGGCTTGCAAAAATTACAAGTCACATCTTCATCTCAAACTCATCTCACTCATCGCCGCCTACTCACTCACACCTCGTTTTGATCATCACCAACCAACCCTCGCCCTCAAAACTGATGCTCTACTAACAATCATGTTTGCTCACAGAACGGCTCCCTCGCCGTCGCCGGCGGCCGCTCCATAACCCCTTTAATCAACACCCTCCTCACCTCCCCTCTCTTCGTCCTCCGCGTCGCCACAAAGGACTGGCACCCACCGAACCACATCTCCTTCGCCTCCAACCACCAGCACCTTTCCTCCCCCGAGTCTCCTTCCCTCAACTCCTCATGCTGCCCTTCACCTCCCACCGATGCAACCCCCTTCATCTCAACAACCACAATCCACAACCCCCACAACCCCTCAGAATCCTACACCACCCGCCTCTGGCCCCCGCACTGCATCGCCGACACCCCGGGCGCCTCCCTCATCCCGGAGCTCGACGTTTCCAAAATCGACAAAATCCTCGAAAAGGGCACCGACCCGCGCGTGGAAATGTACAGCGCCTTTTACGACCCCTTTACTTGCCCCCGAGTCTCCGACAGCGGACTGGCAGAGATGCTGAGACAAGCAAAAGTCACGCATGCCTATGTCGTCGGGTTGGCGTCCGATTACTGCGTATGGAGCACGGCGATGGACGCGCACAAGGAAGGGTTCGAGACGGTGATAATAGAAGAGGCGACGAGGGCTGTTGATGAGGAGGGCTGGAGGGCATGTAAGAGCGCTTTGGCGGCGGAGGGGAAGGGGGTGAGGGTCGTGAGGTGGGAGGGGGAGGAGGTTGGGCGGTTGTTTCCTGAGGGTTTGGGGGAGATGAAGACGGCGTTGGGTGTTGATGATGTTGATAATGAAAAGGAGCCTGTGGAGGAGGAGAAGATTTGAGGATATGGGAGAGAGGGTTGGAATTGACGCGGGGGTTTGGACGGAGGTTGGTCCGAGGCTTTGGCTTTTTGTTGTTCTTCAGTTTTTGCATGCGCGTCAGGGCAGGTACTGAGGTACTGTACCTTATATGCAGCCCTGACTGTTTGGCCGTATGACGGGAGCATGACAGCACGCAGTGCACAGGCATCGCCATGGCAGACATGCTTTGGGATGGGTAATGCGCTGCTTGGGCGCTTGCCTTGCGTTGCTGTGTTACGTCCTGTACCTTTTTTATCTTCTTCTTCAGCGGACTAGAGTTGATTTTGTTTGGGCTTAGCGATGAGCGCTCTTAGCGATAGAGAGAATATTGATACCCTTCCAGGAAGAGGACGGGTATGCACCGTAATCAAATGCATAGTATCGCGATTGCTGAGGATGTGAAGAAAGTGAAAGAATTAGAAAGAACAGAGGACAAGCCAAGGACTGTGAATGTTGTAATCGCCCTCATATTTTCATAATCCAGATGTGATGTACAAGAAAGGGGGTAAAGATAGATGATGCTCATTTCTCATGCAATTCATTATGGGACGGTATAATCTCCCATTCAAAAGGAAGTCAATGTGTGTTCAAAAAACCCACGCCATTCCGACCTTCGTTCCCAAGCGCCAATGCTATGATCCTCGACCAAACCAATGCCCCCTTTTGATCCCTTTTCGCTCACTTTTTTGGATTTACCTGCCAACACGGATGACACCAGCAGCCATAAGCTTCTGGATCTTGGTCCTGACGGTGGGGTTCCTCATGTGCTCGGACAAAGCCGCAGGGTCGGACTGAGCTTGCTGGAGAATGGCCTGCATGACAGGGTCGGACATAATACCCATGATCTAGAAGCGAATATGTTAGTATGGGTTGCTACAGGCAAGGTTGGGATAGCGTTATTACATACCTCAGGATCACGCGCCAGACGCTCCCTGGTCTGCTCCTCAGTCTCGTTCTCGCGAGCCGCATACATGGAGTTGAAAGCCTTCTGCTGCTGCTGCTCAATCTCACGAGAGTTGGCGCCGTTGTGGTGCTCGTTGTCGACTTCGTGGGCTTCGGTGCAGGCGTCAACGGACTTGCTGTACTCACGCATGCCGAAGTAGATCTGAGCCTTGCGGATGTAGGCACGGATGAACTTGGGGTCCTTCTTGATGGCCATGTTGCAGTCCTCAAGGGCGCTGGGGAACTCGAGGAGCTTCATGAAAGCAGCAGCACGGTTGCTGTAGCCACGGGGATCCTCAGGGGCACGCTTGATCATCTCCGAGTAAGCAGCAACGGCGCCGGGCCAGTCCATCTCCTTGAACTTCTTGTTACCCTCCTCACGAGCCTCCTCGGCCTTGACGGGGTCGATGTAGGCCTGGCGGGCGGCCTCGATCTTGTTGCGTTCAGCGGTGCGCACCTTGTTGAGGACATCAGGGGTACGGTGCTCGCGCAGACTCTGGTTGTAGAAGTCAATCGCATTGGTGAGGTCACCCTGCTTCTCATAGGCAGAACCAATGCGGGCCAGGGACTTGGCAATGACCTTGAAGTCAGCATAGGTAGCGCGGCCCTCCTCAGCAGCCTTCTTGCAGGTTTCAATGCAAGCCTGGTAGTCGCCCTTCTCGAAGTAGGCGGCGCCGAGGTTGTTGAGGTAGACAATGTCCTTGTGCAAGTCCCAAGCGGCCTGGTAGTGCTTGATGGCCTCGTCGAAGTTGCGCTTCTTGTAGTTCTCGGTGCCAAGGGCCTTCTCCTTATCGGCCGCCTCCTTAGCCTTCTTCTTCTCCAACTCCTCCTCATCCACCTCCGGCTCAGGCTCAGGCTCAGGAGTCTTGGGCTTTGGTGGCTCCTCCTGCTTAGGGGCGGGAGCATCAGCCATCTTGACGTCTTCCTGGGCGGCGCCCTCCGGGGCCGAGTCCCTCAACTCCATATCTACACCCATCAGGACACCAAGGACCTGGATCATCCTAGGGTCGGAGAAGAGGTCTTGTGCGTTCGATGGGTTCTGCTTGATGGCCTGGAGCTTGGCCATGAAGGCGGGGTCAGAGAGGAAGGCAGCCGTCTTGGAGTTGCCGGCCAGCTTCTGGATAAGGTTGGGGTCGGCGAACATCTGTCCAATGCCGCCGCTGAGATCGCCGCCAGCCTCCTGAGACATGGCACGCTGAACAGCCTCGTAATCCTTCTTCATGCCAGCATTGTTAGGATCGATCTTGAGGCCCTGCTCGTAAGCATCGTTGGCGCCCAGCAGGTCACCCTTGCCGAAGAGCGCTGTGCCCTTGCGGCCCCAACCCTTGGGCCAGTCGGGCTTGATCTCAGTGGTCTTCTCGGCATCCTGCAGAGCATTGTCCCAGTCCTTCTTGGAGGCGTATGCGGCAGAACGGTTGCTGTAGAGGATGTGGTTGGTAGGGTCGAGGGCAATGGCTTGTGTGAACTTGTCACTATAAAAGGGACACCCAGTCAGCCATGGTCAGGGAACAGCGAAGATAGACATGGTGTCAGTGGCAGGGCTTACATGGCCTCGTCAAAGTTCTTCTCGGCAATGGCCTTGTTGCCAAGAGCCTTGAGCTCGTCTGCGGTCGACATTATGATGTGTGGTTACTTGTATTAGGGGTTGCTGAAGGTGGTATGGGTATCTCAAGAAAGAGGAAAAGGCGAATGGGAATGCAAACTCGTGCGTCACAGTAGTATCTTGCTTGTGGGTATCAAAAGAATTGGATGTCAGTACCCAGGAAAAAAAGAAATCAGGCTGAAGGATCACAAGATTTATTCACAGGGAGAAGGAGGGCGCGACCCGAATGGAATGGAACGGCAGCGGCCCAGGCGGTCTTCGTCGACTCTTGCAGCTGTGGAAAGGGAATGGAAAGCTCTGGACCTTCGATGTCTTTCGATGGAATGCTGGTTTCTGATTGGATGATATTGGCTGTTTCCGTGAACAGTGGAGGACAGCTCCCGCCCGCATCTTTCAGGGTTGGCAGGTGCCCCTCTTTTGAGGCTGCCTGCCCAGCGACCCCGCTGACAGTTCCCCGACCCCCGCTTCCCGTCCTGAATTATCGGCCCCGCATCTTTTCGTGGGCGAGGCCGATGCGGTCCTGCTTCCATCCCCGTAGCTCTGCCGACGTCACCGGGATATTACCATTCGAAACACGGTCTTCTCTGTTCAACTTCAATCTGGCATCATGTCGGGCCGGGCCTCACTTTCATCTCGCATCCCTTCAAGTCACTAGTTAAAGCTAAATCATCATCCCAGTTCGACAAACGGAGCGCGACATCTATGGTAGGTAACTCAAGACGCCTCTGCGGTGTGATTGTTCTTTACTCGACACTCTGCTCTCCTTGATTCGCCTCACATCAGGGAGCCGGTATCGCGGGATGCATCCAAATCACCAATTGTGCGGCCTAAATCCTGACGATCTAGGCAAACACCATTGCAGATGTCGTTGGCCGTCGTTGTCGGGAATGACGAGGACCTCTACCAGAGTACGGGCGACCACAAGACAGCACATAGTCTCGGGTCATCAATATTTGGTTTTGGAGAAAAGCGCTTCTTATGCTTCGCATCCGATGGACGACTTCTCAGTACCACACCTCCAGCTATTTTATTCTGGCTCTCTCCTTGTCTCTTCCCCGTGTGTCGGCACAGACAGAGGGGCCATGGCTCGACTGACACGTTCCTTACGTCAACTCCTTTCACAACCACAGCCGGCCATCTCTAAAATTCCGCCGTCCTCGCCTGAGGCCCCGCTCCGGCTAGAGATGGGTAGTAGCTCGTGTTTCTGAAGAGAGAAGACTGAAAGCTACGGGAAAAAGACAGAGTACCTTGGACCAAGCTCACGCGTTTCTAGTTCAGTTTGCGATGGATGTCACGACCAAAGGTCTCGGCCATGATATCCGTTTATCGTTGGGTAGCCCGCAGATGGCCGATATTTCATCTAGCTTCTACCCACGGGGCAGCCTTTGCGCACTGCCGAAAACTCGTATGGCATACAAGGAAGCCCAGGTTGTTGCTAACGCTTAATGGCCACGAGTATTTAAACATTTCTGTTCGTCGTCATTATAACACGGATTGCTTTGACCTGATGATGAACGAGCCTGTTAGGGCCATGGTCCTGTTGATGAAAACATTAGCATCTTCTCCCTTTCTCTACCAACTCTAGTCCTGGTTCCAGAGCTCATCACCAACTCAAACCACGACAATGCCTACCGTACCTGGAATGCCAACGGGCCCGGAGGATCCCAGCCATCCCGGCGAGAGTCCCCCTACGATATCCATTGTCATGTGTATAATCATCTCCATCCTCATCCTGATAGCCATATTCGTGGCTAGACGAAGCTCTCACAGGACCGAATCCCATGAAGACTCACACCGAAGACTGAAGAAAGGGTCCGGAGGAATTGGGGTCAACGCTCTCCGCTTGTTGCCACTCGTCAAGTACAACCCAGACGTGATGGGTCCGGATTTTCACCATGATGGAAACACAAGTCCAACGGGATTGAGTTTGCTGCGCGGCATGGACATGGCAGTCAGCGATACTGACGGGGGAGATAAACCATCTCGAAAGGCATGGCGCGACTTCTACCCCCAGATACGACACGCACTCTTGGGCAAGCATAGGGGGCCACAGCCTTGCCCAGAAGACGCCGACACCACATCTCTGATACAGACTTGTGTCATCTGTACCGATGACTTTATCCGTGGCACGAACGTGAGGAGGCTTCCTTGCGGACACTTCTTCCATCCGCCCTGTATCGATCCATGGCTTTTGAACTTTGGGGTAACATGCCCCCTATGGCAAGTGTTCCTCCTCTTCTTCCTTGAAGTCGTTTTGTCCCTGATCTGGGTTCAAGAAAGTCACAGTTTGCTGACTCCATCACAGTCGGACAAATCTCAAAATGTTGGCGAATGCAAACAACCAGAATGAAGGCTGTGTAGCTGAACCACCGCGAGCAATGTTAGCAGGAGCTGGACGGATAGAGGAATAGGGACTTACTGTACACCATTTTCTCGTCCACAGACTGTCTCAAAAAGCACGGGTAGTCTTGCAGTCATCGCCTGGGGTTCGTACCTCTAGCCTCTTTCAATTGATCTTTTAAGGACAAAGTGCACACTAGTGCTTTTGTGGGCGAAGACTAGACGGACAAAGTATCACGCAGCCAACAACAATCTAAAGTGGACTCGCAAGACGAATGGCTCAAGGTTCGTGAACTTGTCAAAAGGAAAGAAGACAAATGTCACTTGCGTTTGTCATTGCCTTTTGTGTTCACTGTAAGAAGTATCTTATCTGCCCGCTGCTCCTGCCATTGTCAGTACAGTACGACATCGGCCGCTGACGCCCCACTCGGATTGGCGATAAGGAAGGCACATGGGCGGCCCGCCCCCGCCCCCGCCTCTTGACCGAGAAAGGAACTGCGGTGCAGCATTTAAATAACCTGGAGATGAAGAACTTGTTGACGAAAGTCGAATATCCATCCTTCATAGTTTGTGCTTTTTTTTCCCCGAGTATCTTTTTGTTGCAGTGCAGCTTGAGAGTGTCGACGAGTTCACCCCGGTCTTGTCTCCACTATCCCGTCTCCCGGGCAACCTTATTTATACAACAACCCCTGAGCTGGTACCATTGTGATCACCACAGCAAGTTGTTGCGAGGAGAGGAAAATGACCACAGAACATCTATTGTGGATTGGGGGTGCTGAAAGGAAAGGGGGTGGAGAATTGTAGGCTATTTCACCTGAAATTTGGACAAGATCATTTGAGATCGTACCACTGACTTTCGACCCAGGATTCCCGTGGAGAACCCAGCAACAGGCGAGATCATTGCACAGTGAGCAGGACCTCCCATACATGAGATAATCGCTTTTGACCAACACAGTTTTCCTTTGATACAGCTGCCACTCCGCTTCACAAGAGGACGTCGTCTCCGCCGTCGAACTCGCCCACGCCACCTACAAGTCCGGGGTCTGGTCCCGTGCTCCCCGTCATGCTCGCGCAGAAGTCCTTGAACGAGCCGCCAGCCTCTTCGAAACCCAGATCACCGCTCTCATTGAGATTGAAGTAGAGCAAACAGGTCGAGCAGTCCGGGAGATGAACGCTCAAGTTCCCTCTCTCGTCAAGTGGTTCCGCTATTATGCCGCCTTGCTCCGTACCGAAGAACGCTCCGTGCTACCCACCGTCGGAAAACTACACAACTTCCTCGATCGACGACCGCTGGGCGTGGTCGTACAAATCACCCCCTTTTCAACCACCCTCTCTTGATTGCGGTCAAGAAGCTTGCTCCAGCCTTGGCGGCAGGTAACTCGGTGCTTCTGAAGCCGAGCGAATTGACGCCCATTACATCACTGATGCTTGGGAAGATCATGAAGGAGGCAGGTTTGCCGGACGGGGTCCTAAGCGTGCTTCCCGGGTACGGCGCTACTACTGGGAAGGCACTCGTTGAACATCCGCTTATAAAGAAGGTGGATGTCACGGGCGGGACCGCGGCGGGACGGGTGATTGGCGAGATTGTGGGAAGGAACTTGGCCAAGTATACGGCCGAGTTGGGCGGGAAAGCGCCGCTGGTTGTATTCAATGATGCTGACTTGAACGCAGCTGTCAACGGAATAGCCTTCGGGGCGTTCATTGCAAGTGGACAGACATGCGTGGCTGCTACGAGGATCATTGTTCACGAATCGATCTACGATGAAGTGCTTCGAAAACTAGAAATCAGAGCTGTCTCGATCGAACGACGGATGGGCTCGCCAAAGAATCCCGAGTGTATGATGGGTCCACTGATCTCGGAGCGGCAGTTGAAGAATGTTCAGGAGCTAGTGGATGACGCGTATATCGAGTACGAGCGAATTATACAAGAAGGCGGAAACAGACTGACGGGAAAAAGTGAACTCGATGGCACAGACTTTTCCAAGGGCTACTACTTCCCACCTACTATCATTGCCAGCACTAAAGCAACAGACAGGCGCATTCTTTCTTCAAGGATTTGGCGTGAGGAGGCATTTGGACCGGTTGTTGTGCTAGTCGGATTCAGCACGGAAGAGGAAGCCATTGAGCTCGCCAATGACAGCGAGTTTGGACTCGGTGCAGGGATATGGACTCGCGATTTGGCGCGGGCTTTTCGCGTGTCTGAGCAGATTGACGCAGGTATTGTCTGGGTCAACACTCACCATCGCAACGATCCTAGCAGTCCCTGGGGAGGAGCCAAGAGCTCGAGTGGCGTGGGAAGCGAGAACGGCATTGATGCATACCATGCGTATACTACTACCAAGAGCACAATCATCAACTATGCTTCAGCGGAGGAGATGGCGGTGGAAGACTGGTTCAAGGAGGGCGCGGGGAATGTGAGATATGGTTGAAAAGCTGTCTCATGACACTTCAGATTTCCTCGGGACTGCCTTCTTCTGTTTTTTTTTCAGAATACCAATCACGTACAGCCAAGTGCTGGTCAACTTCCACTCCTTGACAATCTTCTCAATTTCATCCCGATATCAATTGCAAGTGCCATGTCAGGGTTGTCGAGTGATCGTAAAATAAACCGGACACGTCACAGTTAAGGCAATAGACCTTGGGATATACCCATATAACGCATCCACACATTCTTCTTTTACCTTTGAGCCTAACCTTCAGGCATTTCCTGAAAGAATAAATCCCTAAGGGGCTCTGGCCGATGTGTTTTGAAGTGATTGTGATCCCTATAACAGTTTTCTGGCGGCCTTTCCTCACTAAAGTGAACCATACTGGACTGCCCATATTAGGTTACTTTGTACAAGCACTTCGGTTGTGAAAGTTTGAACAGCATTCTCAAGGGGAACCTTGCATCACTCACACAAGTAAACAAAACTCACATTCAGCAACGAGAAAATGGGTTTCAGACACCTGTCACTCCCATACGTTCCATCTGAATGAGATATGTGAAGCGACAGTCAAAATCATAACAACCAAAAAAAGTAAGAGGTCAAATTAATAGATACAAGAAGATGTCAATCCAAACAGACGTCAGTCATCCAATGATTACTCCCTTCCGTCGTAACTTCCTTTCCCCATTATGTGCCAATCCTTTCATACCATATCTGCATCCTGTTCCCGCCCCGTCATTCACACCTTCATCCTTCTCTCATATTCCTTCCAAATTAGTTGGGCCACGGGATATCCTGAGGATAGACATACGGGCGGCACTTATTCGCCGCGCAGAAGCCGTTGCAGCAGGAGCCGACGAATTGACCGTTTACGACGCAGTCCTCTGTTGTTTCACACACATGTTGTCAGCCGTTGATCAAGCACTCATCACTCCTTCATCACCGAGATTACGAAACCCGAAGTAAAGAAGCTTTGTGAAAAGCCGGGGGAAAACGTACGATAAACCTGCAAGCAATAGCCATGGCACCTAACCGCGTCAATCGGCTGCGGCGGTCCAACAGCGAACTGCTCCTTGGGAAAGGAGTCGCCGCTAAGCTGGTAGTTGTAAGCGACCTGCTGGTGCGTCTTGAAGTCGCACTGGATGACGGTGAAGTCGAGGGCGGTGATGATATTGACGTTTAGGCCGTTGTCTAGATCACAAAGATTTCTGGTCAGTCTCAAGAACTGTGTCTGGAGAATGAAAGTAATTCAGAGGTTGGGGAAATAGGTAGAGGTATGTGACACATACTGGTAGGATGCCAGTTCCCGTCGGCGGGAACGGTCAGGTTGTAGCCGGTAGCAGCGGCTTGGAAGTAGAAGTGGGCGACCTGAATACCGGTTCTGGGCTCGACCTCGGGAGCTGGGTGGGAGAAGGCGAGGCCGAGGAGGGCCGGGAGGAGGAAGACGGACTTCATTTTTGATGAGAGGTGGTTGTCGTGCAGACAATTTGATGTGGTATAATTAATTCAAGTCGTTCTTTGATCTTGATGATATTTGAGGTGAGGATGCTGGATCAAGGTCTTTTCTTCCAGGAAAGTGGGAGACCTTTATACTTTCATCTTCCTCTCGCTGTATGCCCATGTGATGATGTTCTTAAGGTCCTGATGTCCCAGAGATCTCACACCATGGAGCTCAACCGCCGTTACCAACATAAGCACATCGTGACAAACTGGTGATCGATCTGTCAACCAAGAATAGCAACCGCCTCAACCCCTCAAAATCTCACGAAGTGTACCTCGGTGTTTGTCATAGACTCTCGCACTCCTCACCTCAGACTGGCATTAAAATCGATAGTCACTGAACCTTCCAGGTTTCCAGAAACGAGGCGTCTCTCGACATTCTCGTATAAGCAGCCATGGCTTCTCAATCACAACGCGGTGTTGCGAGACCATAACCGGATTATAACATGGTGCCGAGTCTCTTGGAGCCTTTGACCGTCCCGTGATGCTCAAGTTGAAGCCTGGGCTAGGCTGCGCTGAGGAGGCGCACCTGTCAAATACGAGACATCTTTTTCTGGGCGCTCATCACGAGCCGTGGTGATTGGTTTGCTATTCCGCGCGTGGGGTGCTTCTATGTTTTTTTCGCTTCCAGCCGTTACTTCTTTGGGAGTTCCGAACGTGGTGTGGTAGGGACTGGGGTAGAGTCTCATCACACCACTACCGTAACGGTAAACTATTGGAATCCTATTTCAGCTTTCGATTATGCATATCTTGACTGCGGCGTATGTACGATGGGGAAAGAAACTCTGGGGTAGTAAGACGGGGGAACATTTCGATGATGACGGACAATGTTCGACTTTTACTTTTCGGCTTGCAAGCCACTGGCTCACCGAAGTCAGACAAACATTCGATCAGAGTGCATACCTCGGATATCTCGACTTGGCGCAATTGCAACCCGGCCCATTCAGGCACATCCAAGCACCTGACGAGAACCGCTGTAGAATATCGATCGTACGCTTTCTCACTGTTATTCGGAAGAGATCCGGTGTCGCTGGAGGAACGGGGTCCTAGACCGGAGCGTGTGTGGAGGCATCGGCAACGGCTGGCTGCAATGTCTCCAGGCTCTGGCAAGAAAGCGCGACAAGAATTGCCATGTTTAGGACGCTCGGTGGGAAGTAAACATGCTTTGAGATTATGTTACGTCGCCGGCGGATTTCAACACTTTGATTGAAGTGGAGGTGAATAATTAGAAGATAGGGTTGTGTTGAAAAAGGGTTATTGGAGTTCGGCAAGCCACTATGAGCCAAACCCAGGTGCCTGTCTGGATTTCCGGGGTGCAAGCCGGGTCGATCGGGAACGCATAGCTCGCACCTGGCATTGTTCTTCATCTACTTCATCCACTTGCGCTTCTTCAGATGGATGGCAATAGCACATGCCGACAAACGAATTGAACACAATGAATCATTTCACTCATGTGATCTGGTTGATAGAAACATGCCAAAGAGGAGATCATCTCGCGGCATCAGCAAATGGATGAACTAATCCTGGAGGACAATGGTAAGTCACGACTGTTGCAATGTTTGCACTTGCTCAGATAACCCAAGAAATGATCGTCTTGATCAAAGGGCAGGAACCAAAAGGCAGGAACGAGACAAAGGTGGGAAAGCACGCAGGCGAGTTTCGCGGACTAATCTCCAGAGTTTTCGCGTCGTTTCTTCCCAAACAGGAAAGAAACAACTCTTTACATTCATTCTGAGTTGGTTCCTGGACTCAAGACATTCTCTGAACTTGCGACCTTTCTTCTCAATAAACCTCAGTTGCAATCAGGCTACGAATTTGCGAACGATTGACTACTTCCTTTACCAACTCGCTCTCCGCTTGAACCCTCAAAAAAAACCAACCAGATTCCCCACTCTCATAATCGCAGATCCTGTTTTTATTGCTTACAAAATGAGCTATATACCCAGGCCAGCATCTTGTAGTCTCCTCGGCCCGAGTTTCCCTGTATTTTCTAGAAACACATCTCGGGATGAATGGGAAGTTCTAGATTCAGCTTTAACAGAAAGACGCAAAATTGGGCGTTGTCGAGATAGTGAGGTAACAGAAGCAAGAGTTGGCTAAAAGCTGGGGTGAGATGAAAACTGTTTGCGCACGACTCCGCAGGCACCTCTTGAGCCACCCAACTACATTGAAGATAAAATACCATAACACAATTATTAAAAGTAGTGGATAGGTGGACATGTGTTTTTCATTATTCTCTGACTCCCAAGTGGTCTCACTTCGTGTGCAATACGCTCAGAACCTAACCAGAAACTCGAGTGTCCACGGGCACTTTTTAGATCCTTTAAACCCAACCTCGAGACAGTTTGCAAAGGACAGAATTCTTGACGGACTCCATCGAACGTGTATCTGCTGCTTTAACAATTCTTATTATAGCTTTGTGACGGCCTTAGCTTGTCGAAGCGATACGTATTTGATTCTTCATATTCCTTTTGTGTTTACGACCCCTTCGGTACCTTGGCCTGGAGTTTGCAATCCGGATGCCATGTGATGTGGCACTCAGGCATACTGCGGTAGCGCTGGGGTCGAGTAGGTACGTACGGCAGTATGAGTGATGAGATGCAGCACTATCTCATTACCGATCCTATCAGCCTGCATGGAGATAGCAGAGTAACTGCAAGCATAATATCTGATGAAGAAGGAGCGGGGTCCACTCAAGCTGCCCGTGGGCTTCTCCCTCCTTCCAAGTCCTGTCCGCGCTTGTGATCTGACCACCCCGCCTCTCGCACTCTTCATCATCTCATACAAACACAGGACAACACTTGTTTTCGCCGTGTCCTAGATTTCAACTAATCTTGAGAAAAATCGAGGTACTACCGTCGCTCTCATCGCGAGCATAACCACTCCAAGCGTCCGCGCTGATCTATCGCTTTCAGCGTCTAATTGAGCCGCAACCTTGGATCGCGCCGGTAAGTACAACATGAGGTTAATGAAACAGCGTCACCCTACTTCTTTCGAGACCCTTGCAGACCACTGTTTATTCTTTCTTTCCTTCTCTCTCCGATGCTTCCAGGCAAGCGAGAGCCGGCGTCTCCCTCATTGCGCACTCCCGTAGAGGCAACAGCTGACTACCTAGTGTAAAGCTCAGTCATCTCCCCGAACCAACATCTCCTCAATCGACTTGATCACCCGAAAACACGTGTTTTGGGCTCCTTTCTCTTTCTTTGCTTTTGCTCTTCTGGTTCAACCTGCAATCCCAACCCGACCACTTGCCTAGTGGCAAACAACCTTTCAGCAATGAGCGACAGGTGGTGCAGCAATACCCCCAGGGATGTAGCCACATCGTTGATCCAGTTGGCAAGGCTGGCACGGATGATGCTGCATAATCTGGTGCAACTGGATGGAGACAGCCAGCAGAACCTCGAGACTTGGGACACCGCGCTCCGAGACCTTTTGAGCATGGAGGCTCTTGAAGTGCACCTCGACTCCGACATGCCTGAGCCGGACGAGAACAACTGGGGAATTTGGCAGATCTGGAACCTTGGCCGAGGTGTGGCCAAGTACGTTGTTTGCAAGACTCTCCAGAAACCCCATATTCGCGAGAGACTTCATAGGCACGGTTGGGACTACGACAATCAGAGCCCCAAGTACCACTACGATATCGCTCGGGAACTCTGGGGACATCTGGTTCCCGCCTAAGGCCTACCAGACGTCTTCGCCGCAGCCGCGCAGCCGTTCAACGAAGAGTTTTTGTCTGTACCCTGCGCCAAAATCAGGATGTTGCTGTGAGAAAGTTCCCATAGCAACGGGTAGTCGAACGCCAAACTGATCTACAGGATTTGTGACGGGGACAAGAACAGGGTGGCAGTGCAAGGGAGATATGGGAACCGGAGAAGTCGCGATGTTATGAGTTAGTCGCAATGGCCCGATGAAGTCAGTTAGTCATAATTCATCTAGTGAAACTAACTCCTCCTTTCCCCACATTCTATTAAGTGACTGGAAACTGACGTGACACCTCCACGAAACCCCATCGGTCATACTTGACCGCTGTAACCAAGTACCTCCCTTACCTCTTCTCTCTCGCAGGCTCAAAGTACACATCAAGGGGTATCCTTTCCCAGAGGCCGTACGACTTTTGCCGTTCGATCCAGTTCGCAGTAGTTGGCGACCCCCGCAAATCGAACTCGAAGAGAATGCGGGCGAGAATCCATCTCATTTCGGCATACGCGAGGCTATTTGGAGCGCGAACTACGGTTAGCATATGGCCATGGACACTTGATATCATAGAGAGGACAGGATGTTCTTACTTTCTGCCGATACAATTCCTAGGACCGACACTAAATGCCTGCAAAGAGTCGAGAATGTTGCCTTTCTCCCTAGCTGTCTCCTTGTCATCAAAGAAAACGAGCGGGATTGAAGGCCCAGGGATCAACCCAGTTCTCCTTGCTGTGGTTCATGGACCATGACTGGACTTCGACGATTGTCTGCGTTTTTAAATCACTTTCAGTCTGTATTCGTCCGCGATGAAGACAGTGGTTTGGATCAAACAGGCGTTACTCACTCCTTCTGGGATATACTCTCCCAAAACCTTGGCTCCTCCGCGGGGTACAACCCTCGGCAAGTTCGATGTCACGGGAGGATACAAACGCAGGGTCTCGTTGAGCACTGCAAGCATGTAGGTGAGCTTGTTGACGGAGTTGATATCAATCTCGTCAACGGACTTGAACGCGGTGCGGACTTCCTGGGTCACTCTCTTGAGGACCTCTGGGTTCTGCGTGAGGAGGTAGGTTACGCCGCTGAGGGTAGTTGCTGTTGTTTCCGAGCCGGCGCTGTTGACACATGTTAGGGATCAGTGGGTTAAGTCAGACAATAGTAGAGTTCGGGACCACTGACAGCACAAGAATCCAGGCGTTTGCGGAAAGTTCATCAAAGCCGAGACCCTAATCGACAATTCAGGGTTAGCTTTATTCTGTTAGTTTGCAAAGGAAGGACCGATGAACTCCATGCTGACGGGTGGCTGTCGGTTGTGCCACCTTGGCACCGCCACGATGCACGTCATCAACACGGAAAGGGAAATCTTCCGAGGAGTAAGGCTGGCGGTCTTGCCGATTCCCCGTGGTTGACACACAAGCGAAAACCGACAAATGACAAAGCGAAAGGACAAAACAAAAACAAGAGCACTTACCAGTTTCTCCTGCCTCTGAATCAAGCCCCCGAACAGATCGTTCCTATCCGCATCCATCTTCAACCTCTCCTTCAGCATCAGATCAACGCTCTCCATACTCTTCCTGAATATCTCCGCGCCCGACATCTTCCAGATAACCTGAACAAGCCAGTGCAGTCCGATGTAGCTCAACGCCCCCATCGGCGCCACGCTCTTCAAGCTGCCCAAGATGAACTCCAGCCACGGATGCTTGCCATTTCCCTCCAGCGCACCAAACGGCATACCAAAGATCAAGTCACCCGTGATGTCAAAAGTCGTGCAGTTATACCAGTTCGTCGCATTCAGGGGCACCCTCCCTTCCTCGCCCTGCTCATGAAGCTTGTGAATCAACAAATCGATATACTTGCCAATCAACGGCCCTTGACCGCGCATGGACGCGTCCGAGAAGCTGTTGGCCAAACCCCGGCGGAGCTTGGCGTGTAACTCGCGGTCGGCACTGATGATGTGGTGGGCCTGCTCGTCGACGGGGTGGGCAAAGGTCAAGCTCTTCATCATCTCCTCGGTGCCGTTGCGGCTGCCGGCGATGTGGCCGTAGACATCCTTCCAGGCGCGGTGGTCGGTGAAGGACAGATGGTTGGGCGAGATGCGCACGACGGGCCCGTACTTGTCGTGCAGGGTCTGCGTGTGGAAGGCTTGGATTCCGAGGGTATGGCGGATGCCAAAGGGGATGTAGGAGGCGCGTTGGATGAGGGGACCGGGGTAGGAGGCTAGTGGGTGGAAGAAGACGTTGTAGATGGCGCTGCCGACAATATAGATGATGATCTGGATGGAGGTTTGGAGGTTAGTGGAGGCTCTTATTCATGAATAGGTAAGAAGGGCTGATGAACGGTGAGGAGGTTCATGTTGACTGGGCTGACTGATGAAGTAAAAGAGGTGATGGACTTACAGAAACTCCAACGGCACCGAGAAGCAGGTGCGGGCCTGACAACCCAGTGGCACCGGTGAGCTTGTCTATGACGGGCATTGTGTCCGGTTGTTGTCCTTGGCCTTGTTTTACGATTTGGACAAAGCTTTTCAGAGGATGAAAGAGGAAGAAGTAAGTGCAACCTTGCCTGTTGAGTTTTACTCAATACTCAAAGCCACTTAGAAAACTGAAATTGACCAGAGCACTTGACGATGGTGAGCCAACTTGCCCCGTCTTTATACGCAACGACTTGTGCGTCCGTCACTCACTCCGAACGTCAGTCTTTTGCCTCCCATCTCATACTCTGTCGTATTCAACCTAAACATGTAGACATGATACTCCATGTAGCACCTAGTCCTCCTCCTCCCTAGGGGTACCCATCCATCCCGAAGTTGATACTCCATGCAGGTAGCAGTCCTCGTTATCACCAGTTACACAACGTGAATTATGATTCTCCATGTGGTAAGTAATCCTCCTAGCATGTAGTATACCCATGAATATCCATCAGTTCCCCTCTTGAGATTTCCCCCCTTGATACCCCATCCAGTAACCATCCTCAACTTCATTATCCACCACGACTATCCACATATATCCCACACAGTTCACCACCAGGGCTTCATGATTATACTACAGTATCACCCTTGACGTCCTCTTGTTCACGAGGTTCTTTTTTTTTTCTTCCTCACCCACTTCTGCCCTGTTTCTATCTTGACGGCGGCGACCGGTGAATGTCCTGCATATCCCCATACTGTGTAGTAGCTGGTGCTACTCCACGCGGAGCGTCCCTAGCGTGGTGAACTGTATGTATGTCTCGGCAGAGGAGAAGCCCAGGGCAGTGACCATGGAAGACGACGCTGGTGGAGTGGGTATGGGTAGGGAAGGCAGTGAACGACTTGCAGAGCGGCAAATAATTTTCCTGATACATACCCTACCTGATAGGGGTATATTTTGAAAAGTCAACGGAGATTCCAAACTGTGTTCCACGCCGGTCTGACTCTCTCGGTGATACCTACACTAGGTAAGTACAGAAGTGTTGGAACATGAAGGATGAACCACCCACTACCCACTACCTATGCACTTCAACGGCTACTCTACCTATCTCTAGGTAGAGGTATCTAGCAGGTACCAATGCCCATTGCCCGTACGTCAAAGCCTTCCATCCTAACATGTGAAAAGATAAAGCGGTTTCATTCACTATTTGCAGTTACCTCTTTGTAAGCCTCCGTATCTGGTGGCATCGATGGCTTGCCAATGCGTTTTGCCAATGCAGTCCGTCAGTCGCTGACGACTTGACTCTTGCTCCAGCCCGCACGGGTCATGTTCCATGTTTGCCAAGGAGACAATACATGAGGAATATCGGATTGGATTGGTGATATTGTGTGAACCGTTCATGCGGCCTGGGTTGTGTTCTCTGAGGGATCCTTCATTGAGTCGTCCATGCGCGTTTACCCGCTTCGATGAAGATTCTGTCACCTTTCTTTTTTTCTTGGGGGGCAGATATGGCACACTCTGGGGCTGCACCGGCAGATGGGTGGATGCAGGATGATCTCTTGCTTTCGAGAATTGTCTCATTCAGAACTCGCTTGGCCGAACAGTCATACTCAAACGAGATCTCTTGCCCTCGTACTTGTACAGTGTACGGAGAAGAGTCATGGGATGGAAGGTGCCGCCGGGGATCTTCCATCAGCCCACGTACCTCTAACGTAAATACATTAACCGGTCTCAAGAAATTGTAGGGTCTTCTTCCGAGCTCGTTCATCTGATCCACCGTCCGGACTTCGGTGTAAACAAAGCACGTCACCTTCCTCAATTACTCTACGTTTCCTCTGCGTTTTTTGTGCTACGTACCACCCAGCCATGTTCTATTTTGACTCGGACCTTTTTCCTGCTTCTGCCGGCCTGTTGCGACTTTGCCAATTGCCTGACCTGACTGATAGTGGAATCCCGCGTTATAGTCCATTCAGAGTTGCCTTGCCCAGGCTTGCCCAGCCCGTTCAATATATAAATGAATGAATGAATTTTGCGACTACGTTCTACTAATACTCGATAATAAGTCGTGCCTGCGGCGGTGGCTAGGCATAGGTATATAGGTGCGGGGAAAAAGTTTTATAGGTTAGCTAGGCCGGAACCTAGTATGGCCGTGCGCTGGAAAACCCTAACTTCTTTCGTGTCTTTCTGAAATTACTCGGGCAATCTTTATTCTAGGCTTCTTATATCCAGTATTGCGCCAACTTCCGCATATAATAATAACTTATTGTCCGGGTTCGCGGTTTCCTCTTTTACTATTCTCATTTTTCAATATCTTCCTCTTTTCAAAATTTAAATATATATATAGCTTTCGTTTTTAAAAACTTGTACCTTTACTATATACATATAACGTAATTGGTGCCGAAAGATGCCAGTATATTCTATATTGCTTGTAGGTTGTAGTACGTAATTAATAAGTAAGCGAAAACTTGGCTTTTTTTGCGGGGCGCTCCGTAAATATAGTAGCAAAAGGGTTTTAGAAGGGAATTCAATTAATTATGGTAAAAGTGAAAATTCCCATACTTTATTCGCCTTTTAATCTACTTAGTTAAATGTTTATAAAGTGGACTGAAGTAGGAGTTGTATTTATACTACGGTTAGTCTATTAAATATATAAATTTATTAGTAGCTTGATATAAATATGAATTTGCCTTTCGAGAGAGTATTTACTTCCCTTTCCGTTTTAATTGTTTATTAGCTCCCGGAGCGAGCTAATTCTCAGATATTAGGAAGCGGAGAATACACATTTCGTTAGGTAAATGGTTATTTTATGAAAGTAATTATAATTTCGCGAATACGTTTAATTTAAATTATTCTTTTAATAGAAGATACTTTAATCTTTATATAAGAAAGTGAAGGTGTCACAGGTTGACATTGGCTATATAGTGTGCATTCCGAGTTTTGTCTTGCAAGCAGAACATCGTCCTATCTTTTGTAGATTTGGCCGTCTGGGCATATGCACCCTAGCCTGTTATAAAAGGGTAGGGAATATATATACAATTTAATTATACATTTTGCTATTTCTTTACCTATAATTTTGAAAAGCGTAATATTAGCGAATTAAAAAGAAACCTACTTTGGAAATGTACGCTATATTAGTATAATTTGTTTAGGCGCTTTCGGCGTTGCTATTTTCAATTCGTATAATATAGAAACAGTATTAGTAAATATTGAATTACTTTTTATTTTAGATTTAAAATTTCCAACAAAGAGTATTCTAAAACTGTATATTAATGCAAGTAAAAAGTAAGTAGCAAATAACTAATTTAGTTTTTTAAAGAGAAGTCTTTTGAAATTTAAATGAGTTTAGCTGTTAGACCTATTATTATTATCACTTTAAATATATATTTTTAAGTTTTAAGAGTGAAAAATAGGTTAGCGTTGAAATATACTCTTAATCAATATATTTATTTAATGAGCGAATTAAACGGGAGTGAATATTAATAGTAATATAGGCGGTGTTGCATTAATTCTTTTTATATTTTTTTTCGTAGGGTGAAAAATAGAGCGCTTCTATTTTCATATACATGATTTTGAAACTGAAGCTTATAATATAGATATATTGATCGGCGGTTTCTTATATAATAACATATGGTATTTGTATAGTATTTTCACTTACTATAAAATATACAATATTATTTGCGTAAGTAAAAGTTAAACTTCACTACTTTTTTAGAAGGAAGGAAATAAAAAGAAACAAAAAGATGAGGGACTATAAGGAATTTCATAGTCAATTAATATTCGTATGGAAGTATTAGTTTGCTTACTTAAATATAAATTATCTATTTATATAAAAATCCGTAATAAAGATTGTAAATTGAAGAGGCTACTGTTAGTTATTAAGAACTTTGCTAAATTTATTTACCCAGGTAGATAAGAATGTAAAATTAATATTAGAAGTTGTAACAATGTTATACAGTCCACACCGGTTAGCTCCTTTAGCGTTATAAACGAAAGTTACTACTGAATCGATAGTTAAGTGGATTAATATTATACTTACTATACTTTTGGGGATGATGTTAATATTAAAAGTAATAATAATTATCCGCCATACGAAAAAGCGTTTGATACCTTTATTTACTATTGATAAAAATATAATAGATATTGAATTCTTATAATTATATAAAATCTTACATAGATTTGATAGTATAATTATACAAGTTTTCTTCAAAATTACTGGACATTTACTTAAGGAAAGTATAATTAGTATAATTGCGTATATATTGGAAAGGATCGTATCTTACGCCTCTTCAAAAGTATTCAATATAATATTATTTAACGTTAAAGTATTGGAATTATAATATGCGAATGTCTCTTTAATTTCTTTATCAGTTAATATTTTAAGAGCCTGTTATATAGTATTTTAAAGGAAGCCGGTTTTAATATTAATACAATGGAAGAGGAGTATTACTTGAGGAGCGGAAAGCTATATTAATTAAATATATAATAATATTTTCAAAGCTTATTACTTTTCAATTAGGAATAGTAAGAAGGGTAAAAATATTATTTAGGAAGTCCTCTCTTCAATAAAGAATATTACCGAATTTCTTTAGTATTTTAGCGTTATTAATTTTCTTCTGGTAAGAATCAGTGCGGGTTTCTTTATAAGTTTTATAATACATTACCAGGTTATTACTTTTCATTACAGTCAAGGTTTTGCTCTATTATAATCTACTTTCAAATTTCCTTCCGAATATAATTAAGTATTTTTTAATGATATTTTCGAAAATTTTTGTAAAGGATTACGTAAGATCTTCTAGCTCTTTATATATTTATAAAGTAGGAATGAACTTTGGGAAATATTTTGTTAGAGTACAAATATTTCTTTTATATAAATAAGGGGGAAGATATATTCTTTACGGTATAGGGTATTCTTATTAATTTGAACAGTCATAATGAATTCATAATAGTTTAAAGTTTATGTACTTACTTTTATATAGGATTGTCATAGGTTGACATTAGCTATATGGTGTGCATTCCAAGTTCTGCCTTACAAGCAGAACATCGTCATATCTTTTGTAAGTTTGGCTGTCTGAGTATATGCATCCTAGCCTGTCATAGGATTTACTAATATTAAAGACGAAGTTGATAATAAAATAATTATTCGCGTATTGATAGGTGGGTACGTCCAGCGTATTAAGGAAGTTAAAGCCTTAGGTTACCATAAATTTCTTGAATTCGTTGCTTCAGTTTCAATTACGGAATTAGGAGTTCCAAGAAAAATAATATATACTAGAATTATTGACTACTAATATATATTAGACTAGAAAAATTGGTAAATGTTCTTTTACTACTTTGATTCATTTGTTTTGGGGATATCAATAGGTTTATATAGTATTAGTACTATTAACCGTAATGATAGCAATATATATTTAGGAGGTAATGAAGACAAAGAAATTATATATTTCAATAATATATATAGCCATTCCAATTATTCAATTATTATAGCTAATTATGTAGTAACTAGGGTATTTGTGAATCCACTTTTTAAATAACAAAAAGTTCCTATATATAAATTATAAGAACCCAATTAATAATTATTTATCTCAAAATACTGTTAGAATTTACTAGGCATTCTTAAACATAAATAAGTATAATTCTAAGTTCTTTTATTACAAGAATAGAAGAGAGTTAGTACTTAATTATTTACCGGCTTACTTATCTTTGCAACAAAGGAGGGACAGTTAAAGTAATTATTAAATAGTTTAGAGGCAGCTATATGTAATTAGGAAGCGGCCTTTTAGGAAGTTGCCCTAAATATTCATAAATATAATTAACAACTTTATAGTATTGCGGCCGGCTAATAAAATTCTACTATAAGCGGAGGGTTAGTTGAAAGTAAAAGAGGCTCCCGTTTCTTTAGTTTGGATGTAGCGTTTAACAATTTTTCTTTATATTTCGATTTTTGCTTTAGCGGTTTTTGAATTAAGAGAAGGGCTCCAAATAAAAGAAAGAGGGCGGATAAATAATGACAATGAGATTTGGAGGTATAAGGCCGGAATTAATTAAGGGGGGAAAGGGTGTCCTTTAGCGTTATATTTCCGTTTTCGTCAATAAATATATTCTTTTAAACTAATACGTTTGCTCTATCGATTTTTTCAATTCCTACGTGGTGGTTTTATAAGCGGCCGTCCTAATTTAACGGGCGCCGGTCCGTTATTTAATAGTAAGTTTTTGAATATATCCATTTTTAATTTTACCAAAAAACAGTGCAATTAATATATTCTAGCTTTTCGAACCTGTAACAGCCGACGCGATATGGAACTACGTGCGATTCGAAACAACTATATAAGACCACTTGAGTATCGAATTTTCCAGCTTCGATTATTTGTATCCTTTTGTAAGGACATGGTCTGGTTAGTGTAGTGGTCTGCCACCGTCGTGATAGAACCGAAAGTAATTCAAGTATTAGAAAATTAACTTATAGGTATCTTTATGAAAAGCTTTTCGGGCACTACAATATTTATGAATTGTAGTGTAAATATATTTATTAGTATTATAAGAGCTATGATACCTTTTGTATATATAAATATAAAGGTTGTATTTTAGAAAGCGGGCCGGCTTTAATCTGAAAATGCGGAAGGATTTAAATTTTTTAAGGGAAATTATAATATAATCCCCAGCTGTTTTACCCTTAATAATTTTTTATATTTGCTTTGTAGCGGCTTATATTTCTAAGTAATAAATGGCACAATATTCTGAGTACTATTATTAACGAAAAACTTAATTTATATTCTAAGTAAATAATATCAAAGTATATTAATTCTTGGGTTATTTCAATCTTGTAGAATTACTTTATTGAATTTAATGAGGAATTAGTAATACTCGAGCTTAATAAATTTTGATATAAAATTTTAATTATGTTAAATAAATTCTTGGAATTTATTGCTAGGGGAATTCAGTTTCTTCTATAGCGTAGAAAAATGAAGTTGTTTAAATATTATTAACTAAAACTTCATATTTTAAGTGAGTTCAAAAAAAGTTTTACAATTTTTCTTATAAATAGCGGAGTATTTAAATTTAGCAGTAACGGAAGAGGAACGGCTTATTTTC